TCAGGAAATCAAAATAAGTGAAATGACATGAAAAAAATCACGCAGGAGGTCCTTCACGCGCTGCCGTCGGACTGCCACGCGCCGCCGCCTGTTGTCGGTCTTCGTCGCCACGCACTTCACCACCGGAGGCGCCTCCACCTGCTGGTTATGGGTCCGACCTCTGTTCGTCCAACGGAGGTCGCCTTTGGTCAGAATAAGCAATTGCAGGTTCGGTCCCTTTGAAGAAATCGCGAACCTGTCGCCCTTTTTGGTCAATTTCTGGCCGAAGAAGATGACCGGTCGCTCTGATACCAGTTGTAGGGTAAAATTCCAACAATAACCAAGGTAATACCGGGCTCAGTTTCCACAATATATTGACACAACCACGATTGAGACAACACCCAACTTCACATATTTCCTTCCCACTATATATATATATATATATATATATATATATATATATACACGGCCAAGATGAAGAACAATGTATAGCCCACGAAAAACCACATAGGTTATATGAAGGGAAGAAATCGAGAATCAAAGTCATAGAAAGAGATGGAGTATTCTTCATGGTGGAGGCGCAGAGGAGCCGAAGATTATAAGCCAAATGAGTGACCAAAAAAGGTAAGTTAGGTTAAGTTAACTTAGTGGACCAAATAAGGCTCAACACAAGATAATGTGCTCCAAATTAATACCATAGCCCTCCAAGTAAATGGGACAAACCATGAGCAACACTATTAAAATAGGTTGCTTCTAATGGTCCATAAAGATGTGGGTTGGGTTGTCTCAATAATAGTGTCGACATATAATTCAATCATATGGCCAAGGCCGATTGATAATAAATAAAATTGAGGTTACATCATTGCTCAGGGGGTCGTTTGACAACAAATTGCCTAACACTCTCCTTTACTTGCTTGTTGCCTACAGAACTGCTGATGGAAAGAGGGAGAAAGCCAAAAAGAAGGAAGAAGTTGTGACCTATGATGGGCGATCACTCATCATTAATGGAGGTAGAGAACTTATCTTTGCTGGTTCAATCCATTATCCCCATAGCCCTCCAGAGGTAACCAGGAATGATTCTGTTCAAGCACCTCATTTGCGACTCGTCTAACGGGCTTCTGAAAGCAAAAAACTGTTGTCGAGATTAAAAAACTGCTTTTAGACTATTCAAGAAGCAAAAGCAGCAGTCCTGCGAAACAAATCTTTAAAAGTTTTAGTAAGAATTCAGTATTTCGTTAAAGAACTAGCATGTGCACAAATTTTAATTTGAAGGTTTAAATTTTGTTATATTAGACCTCCTTGAAAAGGCCAAAAAAGGTGGTCTTAACCTCATCTAGACTTATGTTTTTTGGAACATTCATGAGCCTGTTCAAGGGTAGGTAAATAAAACATTTTTCAATGAATTAATCAATTATTAGAGTTTTGGTTCATATGTTTTATCGATTGAAAATATTTATGTTACTTTCTTTAGTTCAATTTTGAAGGCAACTGTGACCTCATAAAATTCGTTAAAATGATTGGGGGAACATGGTTTGTGGGTTAATCTCAGGGTAGGACCCTACATTGAGGTTGAATAGAATATGGGGTAAACTTCAAATAAATGTCTCAAATTCCTTAAAGTTTAAATTACTTATTTTACAACCTTGTTCTTAATTCAAGTGTGTCTGTCTGAACGGAGGATTCCCATACTGGCTAAGAGAGGTTCCCAACATCACATTCTGTTCTTACAAGGAACCTTTCTTGGTAATTAATCGAATAACAATCTGACTTTTTATTTTTAAGCAACGATTTTTCTCCATTACACTGTCCAATTGATTAAAAATGTTCACATCTACAGCACCATATGCAAAAATACACTGAGATCATCATTGATATGGTGAAAAAGAAGAAACTATTTGTAGATCAAGGAGGTCCAATTATTATGGCACAGATCGAAAATGAGTACAACAATGTTCAGCTTTCCTATAGAGAAGCAGGAAAATGCACGTTAAGTGGGCAGCAGATAAGGTCAGCGCCACATACAATGGCATCCCGTGGGTCATGTGCCAGCAAAAGGATGCCCCCGACAGTGTGGTTAGGTAATTTTTCCTTTCCAGTTTTCTCAGTCTAATGCGTTATTCTGTTATGTCTAACATGATCAATTTTCAATCTAGATTAGTACGTGCAATGGAAGAGAGTGTGGATATACTTTCACCGATCCAAATGGCCCTAATAAGCCTTCATTGTGGACTGAGAATTGGACTGCTCAGTAAGTACAAGCCTTATGCCTCGATTATGCCATATTGATATAACAATTTTCTATTTTGTTCTAACGGGCGACTGTGCACTTGAAAACAAAATATCATTTATAGATATAGAGTATTGGAGACCCTCCATCCCAGCGTTCAGTAGAAGATATTTCATTTTCTATTGCTCATTTCTTTGCAAGGAATGGTACCATGAACAACTATTACATGGTATGGTAGATGTTGACTCGCAAATTGTACCTCGTACATGGCCAATCGATAGCTGCTCCACTTGATTCTCCCTGCGCGCAATCAACACACGGTCAGATGCACACGGGCGGAATCAGCTGGGGTGGTGGCGGCCGCATACACTCCAATGGTTAAATTAGTATTTGATGATCGGAATAGTGTCCGGGTTGTGCAAGTGAATGTGGAGAAGATTATATATAATTTCTTGTTATAGAGAGCTAAGTTGTAAGAGTTTCATTACCATTGCCTCTTGTCAAACCTTGGATATTTATAAGTGAGGAGAACCGTTGGATGTAGGACACGTGTATGCATCTAACAACACGAGGTGTCTGCTCATTGGCGTCAATCAACCTCATCTATAGAGTGGGCGGGTAATAACTTCTCTTGAATTGAGTTAACATAAAGTTAATATGTCATATCAACTAGACCCATGGAGACGTCAAATCAATTGGGCCTTGGGTCAGAGAGGATCTTGACACAGATTCTCTTTCTGAAAGTGGCAGCGCATTGCGCTTCGGCGTTGATTTGTGAATCACTTCGGGTTGGTGGTGGATACCTTGTACTACCACTTTCGAAGTGGTTCAGATATTCTGAAGCGTCTTTCCGAAGTGGTTCAAATAGGGGCGTAACAGTGGTCATGATTTTGATATTCCGAAGCGTCTTCCGAAGCGGTTCAGATAGAGGCGTAACAGTGGTCGTGATTCTGATATTCCGAAGCATCTTTTCGAAGTGGTTCAGATAGGGACGTAACAGTGGTCCCCCCAAGTTCAGGCATGAATATTTATATCATTGGTGGACTTATTTTCCTGATCGAGTATACCCGTCTTGATTTGTGATAGAGAACTGGCATGGAAGGGTAAGGTGTGTAGTTTTCGAAGAGATTTGGGTAGGTGATCAGCTTCTCCCGAGGCGCTACCTATAGGGGACGGTGTGTTGGGAAAAGGGAAAAGCCTCACAAGGTATAGGGACGATGTGTTGGGAGACGACTAAGGCTTTGTAAGCTTAGGAGGGAACATAGCAACCGAGGCAATGACCAACGGGTGACGTCACGTCAGGTACGTTTAAGCTTTGTAAAGCTATGGGGACCTCATCTGCGTCCGATGTGCTGACCCAAAGGGGATGATGCGTTGGAGATAGCTAAAGATTTGTAAGGCTTAGGAGGAAACGCATCCACCGAGGCGATGACCCACAGAGGACATTGCGTCAGGTGCGTCTAAGTTTTGTAAAGCTGTTGAGAGCTCATCTACTTTCGATGCGCTGACCCACAGAGGACGACGTGTTGGGAGATGGCTAAAGCTTTGTAAGGCTTAGGAGGGAACTTATCCACCGAGGCGATGACCCACAGGGAACGTCGTGTCAGGTGTGTCTAAGCTTTGTAAAGCTATTGGGAGCTCATCTGCTTTCGATGTGCTGACCCACAGGAAATGATGCATTGAGAGATAGCTAAAGCTTTGTAAGGCATAGGAGGGAATGTAGCCACCGAGGCGATGACCCATAGGAGATGTCGCGTCAGGTATGTCTAAACTTTGTAAAGCTGAGGATTTTGAACTGAGGTGAGCATTGTTGATGTCAAATGATTTGACAGCTGTCGTGTATTTCTAAGGTGACAGTTGGGTGCGATGCCCATTCCCAGAAAAGGCTGCTGCGACTACTTATTGTAGACGGCTAACGGTGATCGAGGCTATGCATTTTATGAGAGCGTGAGGGTCACAGCTAGATATTGGGCGTAGATCAAATCTGGCGTTTCATTTCAATAGCTCAGATTTAAGATGTGATGGACGGCCTAGATTGATCGCGTTTGAATTCAACGGTAGAGATCAGCTGGGACGCTCTATAAAAGGCGGACTTGAGCATTTTTCGAGTTTTTTTACTTTTGCGAAATCAGAAAATCCATTTCCTCTCACGATTCTTGTGTTTTCTGGCGTTATGCAAGCGATTTCGGGTGACATTTCCAATTTTCGGTGATATCTCATTATTTGTTGATCTTTTCCGACCGTAGGTCCCCCCCAATTCCTTGAGTTTCGTAAGTATTTTCCAAGTTTTTCACAATTTTTTGTATTCTGCAATGGCTTCGGATGGTTGTGGGCCTTCGGGAAGGGATTTAGAGATGGTGAAGGTGGATGAGCCTATTTTGGTGACACCCAGTGATATCTCCGAGGCGACATTGGGTGGGGAAAATATTTGGAGAAGGCCTAATAGCCCGGTAGATACATCAGAACACCGGGAGGCTTCAGATTACCTGTCGAAATTGAAGGAAGCCGATCTGGGTAGACTTAGGGTTGAATATAGAATACCTGATAGTGTAGAATTGATATTACTAATGAGAGGGCCTGCTATCCTAGGCCGGAGTATGTGGCCGTGAGTGAGGCACTTTTTAGGGCCGGGCTTAGGCTCACCCTCCATCCCTTCTTTAGGCTAGTGCTGAGGCCTTACGGGTTAGCTCTGACCCAACTGAACCCAAACTCCTGGAGCCAAATATTGGGGTCCTGGATGTTATGGAAGGAGGCGTCGCTAGGGATGGAGATGCCTTTCTCGATTTTTCAGACCCTATACATCCCTAAGGTAACGGTTGGGAGGACAAGACCAAGGGGTGGTATTATCTGACCTTATGGGGTTCCCATACTCCATTCGTGCTCGATCTGCCAAGCTCCATTAAAGAATGGAAGAGTTCGTGGTGCTGGGCTACCGGGAGATGGGACACGATGGAGTTTTTTTTTTCTTTTTTTTTTTGACTCACCCGAGCACTTATCATCTCTTATCACTTTCCTCGTTACTTTTCTTCTCAAATGGACATTTAACACCTACTATACACTTGGAAGCATAAATGTGGAAAAATGACTATTTATAGTCTTTAATCCAGTGTAAGGAGGTATGGATAACTTAGGCACATGAAAAGAAATGGTTATATATGTGTATTGGCTCAAAGTGGCTACTAGGGGATTATAATTATGAAAAAGAACTAGTCTGAAGGCTCAAATTCAATCCTAAATTGACTGTTATCATTTCTCAAGTACAAACCACCGTCTTACCACATACCGTGTAATGTCGTTCTCAGAAGCAGTTTCCAATTCACACAATCAATGAACACTTATTACATTTTTAATATGTGATAACTCTCAATCCTCACCAATTCTTTCTAAAGAAAGCTCTAGCAGGAGATTCCTCTAGCTACATGTGTTAAACCACTATCTTACCACAAGGCTTGTGTGCACAAAGTGAAATATAGCAAGTGTCCTGATATCCAGATTCTCATAAACACAACCAACTCCTAGTGACATATTTTGTCACTCAAGCACATAGGCATAGACATGCAGCAACTCAGAAGTCCAGGCAAAAATGTAAACTTTTTCACAATTCCATGATCACACAATTTATCATGCAATGCAATTCACAAATAAAATGTATCCTCCCCCCAACTAAAAGTTACATTGTCCTCAATGCATAAACATGTCTCCAAAAAAAAAAAAGAAGGGAAAAGGTATCACCTGAGTGCTGCAGTGAATTAACTTAAGTTCGAAGGATGAGAAGCCTGAAAGAACTCAATGGATGGATAATGCAAGGAGTAAAAAATAAACCAAAAAAAAAATGAATACAAATCATACTAAAAAGAAAAATCTAAAACTAATATACAGAAAAATAAAGTGAAGGATGAACCTGAGTGAAGCTAAGGGTGGTAAACAGGGTCTGCAAGGGGAATTTCTTCCACTATAGGCACCGATTGCCCAAAAGCTATTTTTAGACGCTGTCCATTCACTTTGAACACTCTACCATCATTAGGATCCTCAATTTCAACCGCTCCATTTTCAAAGACTCGTAGTACCACAAAGGGACCAGTCCACCTCGAACGAAGTTTTCCAGGATGCTTATGGAGTCTGGAATCATACAAGTATACTTTTTGATTTGGTTCAAAAGTTTTTCTCAAAATATTTTTATCATGAAAAGCTTTCATTTTTTCCTTGTAGATTCTGGAACTCTCATAGGCCTCATTTCTCAACTCCTCTAACTCAGC